CTGATGATTTCTTCCTGCGATTGCAGGACCCCCTTCGCGAGGACCCTTCCACTGCGTCCGGGTGGTCCAGCGGAAACGCCGCGGCTGGTGGAAGTTCCACCGCTTGTCGGCGCGCTGGTGCTGATGCTGGTGCTGGGGCCGGGGGCCGGGGTGGCCCGAATGCCGCTGGTCCTGGCCGACGATTCCGAGCCGGTGGACGGGCTGCCGCGGGCCGGGGTTCCGCAAGCCGGCGACACGGCCGACACATTGATTTCTGTGACACAATAAAAATATTTGTTCATTTCAATTCCTGCTTCTGTGTATCTGTTGCGTTTACATCTATCTCCACGGTATCATAGGTAATGTAATCCAGTATTTAGAGGTCAGTTATGCACATTACAGTTGTTTATTGCATAAAAGGTTTTCGAAAAATGAAGTTAAGGGCGAAGCATAAATCACGTCAAAAAATAGACTGAATACCGACGTTGAAATGAAGTATAAACTTAGACTCGACGTCTAATTTACGTCTTTTGCTCAGTGGGATGACAAAGCATGTGGACATTTGTGTGACACGCCACTTACCCTATAATAATAATCACCACCACCCGCTGCTCAAACGGCGTGAGGGTCTCCTCCCCCGGACCCCCACCTGTCTGGCCAGTACTCCTCCGGAGGGCAGCTGTACGCCGCTTGACCTCCACCTTGAGGTCCGACCACTTTTTTTAATCTCCGCGGGGGTGCGTGTATCGGAACCCACCGCATTCACCCTCTCGCAAACTTTCTCCCACTCCAAGCGTTTTTGTTTTGCACTGACGCCACTGGACAGGCTGCCAAACAGAACACGCTGTCGCTCCTCCACCTCCGCCACCAGAACCTCCACCTTGCACACCGTAAATTTAGTTTTTCTTGTCATTTTGTCTGCGTGCAAGGACAGGGAGACCCTATTTAAATAAATCTGCATATTTATAGGAGGGCGTAACGGGGACGGGCCCAGTCACTCTGACATCTGCGCTCAATTCCACGCTGATTGGGATTTATCAAGGAAACACACGTGGATTTCGGCGCCCGCACACATTGATACATACAGATTTTTTTCAGCGTTACGGACCTTGCGTGCGCTCGTTTCTGGTATGAGTTCCACGCAAGTGTTGATACATGAGGCCCCAGAGCACCACGCGACACGACCTGGTGGCGTTTGGTCTGAACACCCCTTTAGCCTCTCTTCATTGGCTCCCTATTAAATCTAGAATTTAGTTTAAAATCCTCATTCTCTCTCTCTCTCTCCACCTGCCCTCTCCCCTCTTCTTTCTTTCTTCCCCTATCTCTCTACATTCCTCCCCAACCCAGCAGCAGCATAGTGGCTGTCTGGCATGAGTCGGGTCCTGCTCAAGGTTTCTGCCTGTTAAAAGGAAGTTTTTCCTTGCCACTGCTACTCATGTTAGATGAGATGGGCCAAAACCCATCTTAGAATGGTTCTTGATAATTCATCAAACAATGAGCGTGGTCTAGACCTGCTCTTGTTCTTTGAAAAGCGTCTTGGGATGACGAATGTTGTGAATTGGCACTATATAAATAAAAATTGATTGATTGATTGATTGATTGATTGATTGATTGATTGATAAAGCACAGTCTCAATGTCTCTTATAGATACAACACCTAAAGCTGGTGCACTGTGGCTACCACTTGGCTTTCATTCTGTGCAGGCTGCACCGGACATAATGTAGCAGCACCAAATGTGGGTGACAACAGATGCACCTGTTATAGTGGGGTTATTACAATAAATTAATAAGTGTGTTGTTTTAAAGCAGACAGTAGTGAAACTAACGAATTACTACATCTCTGGATCCAATGTCCAAATTAAGAACCAATGATTGAGGAGACTGGGACAGGCATATCAAAAAATTCACATACTGATGATAAAGAGTTCACCATCAAAAAAAATGAACCAACTTGCAAAACTTTGGGAAAAGAGATGACTTTAACAAATGTAATGGTGAGTGTGGAGGGAGCATGAGCTATGAAATATTGTTTTGATAATAATTATATCCAACGGCACAGATTATCTCTTAGAACCTCCTTACAGTGATTCAAAGAAGAACAGACCATAACAGAGGACTGTTATGGTCTGTTCTTCATGTCCTCAGATGTTTTTTCAGTGTACCGTATCATTTGAACAAGTGAGATTCTTGCCCATGTAATATTTGTGACACAATTTTCAATTTACTCTCGCAGGGCCATTTCAGACAAATTTGGTGCAAGGTGAGACATTCACTATCAACAAAGGCACACTGAAACTTGAAAGGTTAACAGTGTTATTTAATCCCAAAGCATGCCAGGGGTGTTCAAAATGATTTAATGGAGAAGTTTTTGGCACCTGGCGGACCTGAAACCCAGAGGTTGCAAGAAATTGATGAAAGAAATCGATGTGTTTTGGTAGACCATGACAGAAGAGTAGTTGTTTTTAAATCCAATCTGTTCAGCAGAAATTTAGAGCATCTCTGCTCCCCTCCTTAAACATAAAATCTCACTTCTTTGCTCTCTTGCTGAGATTTTGACAAATATTATTTGCCCTTTTTATCTAACAACTCTATAAAAGTTATTCCAAACAAGAGTGAAAACCGAGGCCAAAGTTATTTCTGCTTGAGGCAGTTCGAAGTTTGTGTGTAAAACTACACAGCTTTCCTAACACCAACCCTGGATTATAAATTGTTAAACCTCTAAAGCGATCTCTTTTAAGTGCCAAGCATATTTAACATTGTTATGGGAATAGTAGCTGGTATTGCTCTGTGCACACCTGCATGTGGCTTTTTGCACTCAGAGTAATGACTGGAAGAGGAATGTAGCAGGTTTAGAGGGCCAGTCAGCAAACAAACTGAATCATAGCACTGTTTGGGCAGTGTTCTGTCTGACGCGGTGGTCAGTGATGTAGGAGCTCCACAGGGGACTGTGCTGTTCCTTTCCTTTTCACCTCGTACACCACTGACTTTCAGTACAACTTCAAGTCATGCCACCTGCAGAAATTTTCTGATGACTCAGCTGTTGTTTAGTGTATAAGCGAGGGAAGGGATGGGGAGTACAGAGCTGTGGTGGATAACTTTGTGGAGTTGGCTGGACGCAATCACCTGAGCTCCCGCAATAACAATGCCACGTCTGGCAGCTCATGCCGTGCTGTGAGGGGCACTTTCTCCCCAGTCTCCATCTGATGGATGACCTCTCTAGTTACGGGATCTGCATGTTGCTTTTCCTTAAGGTTGAAATGGGACAAGGGCGGAACAACTGGTAGCCCATGATCAGTTTCACTGGCAAAGCAGTCAGGAATGGCCTCAGCAGACAGGCTTAAAGATTCAAGCAAGGTGATGGGACTCTCAACTTGACTGTTAGGGTGGCTGGTGACAACACAATGATGGCAGACACAACCTCAGGCTCCACATCTCCACGTGGCCTGCTTCACTGGTGTGCTCCTATGTAAAATTGTTGATCAAGTCCCAGTCCTTCTGTAGAGTAATGTCTCTAAGTTGGCTGTGAGGATGGTGGGACAACCCATCAGCATCAAGATTTTGCTTTACAGCTCTATATAGCAACTTAAAAGTGTAGGTGGTTAGGGCAGCGAGCCACCTGTTACTGGCAGCGTCTAACTTGGCTGATGTCAACAGGTCGGTCAGGGGATTGTTAGTTACAACTACAAAGTTGGCCCCATACAAGTAATCATGCAACTTTTCTGTCACACTCCACGTTAAGGCCAAGAATTCAAGCTTGTGTGCAGGATACCTTGCTTTGCTTGGTGACAATCCCCGACTGGCGTAAGGTGACCTTCTTGCTGATGATATAAAGCTGCCTCAAGCCGAGTGGTGCTGGCATCGGTGTGAAGGATGTAAGGCAGCTTGGGATCAGCAAACCAAACTGGGGAACTTGTCAACTTTTCTATAAGGGTTTCAGATGCGAGCTGGCCAGAGGATGACCATCTCTCTCCGAAAGGCAGCTTTGCATCTTGGACCTTGGCTGAATGGATCTTGGTTTGGGATTGAATGTAGGACCGCAGCCACATGTCAGATCATTCAAAGGTTTAGCGATGGCAGCATAGCCCTTGATGAACCTCCTGTAGTACCCAGCAAACCCTAAGAATGATTTAAGTTGCCTTAAGAGTTTTCAGAACCAGCCAGGGTCTGTTTCAACTCCTTTCTCCAAGACAACGTGGCCCAGATATCGTACTGATGTCTGAAAAAATTTGCACTTCCCCAAAGAGAGTTCAAGACCATACTCTTTTAAGCGATGGAGCACTCACAGTAGCCTTTAGTCATGTTCTTCAAGTGACCTTGAAAACACAATAAGATCATCCAGAAAAACGAATACCTCTTTCAAGTGGAGATCCCCCATGCATTTTTTTCATCAGACATTGAAAAGTACCCGGAGCATTTGTTACCCCTTGGGGAATTCGATTGAACTTCCAGAATGCAATCAGTGTAACGAATGCTGTCTTTGCTTTGTCAGCCTCATCCATCTCGATCTGATGGTAGCTGAATTTGAGATTTTGAACACTAAACCACCTTGAACCTGTCAGGGCTGAAAACGACTCCTCCAGGTTTGGCAAAGGTAAGCGTCCTTACCTGTTTGCAGGTTCAGTTTAGGATAATCAATGCACAACATAATGTCTCCATTCTTTTTGCAGACCACAATGATTGGGGATGAGAATGGGGAATCTGACTCCCTGATAACCCCAGCCTTCACACAGATGTTGGTGCACAGCCCCAACATCTTGAGGGTGGATAGGTCTAGCTCTATGCTTGAAGGGGGTTTCATCGTGCAGCTTAATGCGATGTTTCACCTTGTCAGTGCATCCAAAATCCAAGTCATGATGTGAGAAGACTTCAGGAATCTCATTTAATTTGTTAGTGATCCTCTCTTTCCATTCAGGAGAAATGGATGACTCTCCAAAATCCAACTTCAAAGTAGTCAAGGGACTGTCAGTTGATGAACTGTGCAGGGACACTTGGTAGGACAGGATCTGGGGGGATATGGCACGTTCAGCAATGACACTGAGGTGGAATGGTTATTGCTTGATCTGATGCATTGTTGAGAATGACAGGGATCTTCATGTGGGATTGGCTTGGGAGCATAATAAGAGAGTTCTGATCACACAACCCACCGGGCAATGGGGAGGTTGGATGCTCGACAAGAGCCCACTGAACTGGAGCTGATATACAGGCATGAATGGGGCCGTTGACAACGGTTGTTTGCCCATCGGGAATGAGGACTGGAGATTTGCTGGCTAATCTCACAACCCCATCACTGCCAGCCTGCTGTTGCTGGTGACGTACCTGCAGGAGTTTGAGAATGGCCCGGTAACCATGAGCAGCTGGCTGAAAACCTGCAACCTCACTCTCCATACACTGACTGTATAGGGGCTCCATGGTATTAATGCCAGTCAACACTGGGGACTGGACATTGGGTCTGATGTTGGGAACAACAAGCACAAGTGTAGCCACATCAAAGTCTGCACCCAGGAACTCCTTCAGAAACGTAACCTTCATCTCCACATATCCAAGGTAAGGAACATCTTGGATATGCAGCTCCTTCAACATGCAAAAGATCACACAAGAGTTTCACAGGCTGATCTGAGAAGTGCTGGTTATAGAATGAGACCGGAATGGTTGTAACTTGGGATCCTGTGTCTAAGAGGCAATTACAGTCTGTACCGGCAATCTTGAGTTTGGCTATGCAGTGAGATCCAACTAAACCTTTGGGTGACCAAGATGGCACAATCGGTGGGGTTTGAGACTGTTTTTTCTTGGCAGCCACGAGAGCAGAGTTTGGGGGATTTTCACAGTGGGTCTTGATATGGCCATCTTCACCACATCGACCTTTCCCCAACTCACTGCCAGGTGCGGACTTGAAAGGAGTGGACTGGCTAAATGCTGACTGGGCAGCTGTGAGTGATGCAAGCTGCTTCTGGATGTCGGCCAATTGCTGGGCAAGTTGCTGTGTGACTGTGGTAAGGGCAGTGATTTCTCCTTTTTCTGCACTATCTGTGTAAGCATACTGGACATGGGCTGAGGCTCTGGGTCTGGCTGAGCCAAGATACTGCTTCATCCGCACAGCCTTAGCAGCTTCACAGTCTTCCTCAGTTCGCAGTAGGAGCAGGAATTCAGCAAAGGTTGGGGGGTATTTTTGATGTTTCAGTTGTAGTTCAGTTATTAGCAAGTTATCCCAAAAGCCATGACAGAATTGGGTTAACAGATGTCGTTCTGTGTCTTTGCTTGCCCCCCCTCCACGCTTGGCTGCTAAGTTCAAAGCAACCTGCAAATGCTGCAGATAGTTTTATGGCTTCTCCCCAGCGTCTTGAAAGGTGTCTACAAATTTAGCATAAAGCTCATCGCCATCCTGGACAGTGCCGTATGCTGAGTCAAGTGTCTGTAGATAGATTGTGGGCGGAGTGTCTGGTTGCAAGTGCTTAACCATATCAGCAGCAGGTGGCAGCAAGCTCTTGAGGATTTCATGGGAGCGCTGAAGGTCAGGCACTGCAGGATCCTTTAATGACAGTTCTATGCCAAAACGCCATGTGTCGTAGTCTGCTTCACTCTGAGGTCGCGTGATCTGCCAGAGAAGACTCTGATGCGCTGTGTTGAATAGTGGCTGGTGCTGTCTTTATTCTTTACTATGTGCTCAACAACATAGCGTGGAATTTCAAGGGGATTCAGTTCATGGTGGGTCATAGCTGGTAGTGAAAATCTTCATGCGCTCTGGACAGTGGGGGTCAGTTATACTTTTGGCTGAGTTCCACCAGGATTTGGGACTGGAGCCACTGGAGCACTTGGATGATAAAGGTTGACAGTAGGGAGCACTGCAGGAGGCAACATGGTAACAAGGGCAGCAGGTAGTGACTCTCTCTTACTGTCCTCCTTAACTTCACCATTAGGGGAGCAGAGATCGGCAACAGTTTGGCCAAGAAGAGACATCACCCCATTTAAAACACTGGAAAAATCTGTCCCTATTAGTCCACAATCTCACATGTAACTGTATCATTGTCTCAAACCTATGTGTAAGGTAAGACTCATCAATTAACACTGATTTAGAAATGGACCCGAACTGCTTTATAAAGTCGAAGACTTCATCACCGGTTTCTGTTTTTAAACCACCCTGTATCAATACTGAATTAGGAAACTTATGCAACGTTTCTCAAATGTTTCCATGTCTTTGAAATATATAAGCATCCACAAAACGACATTCAAATCTGATCTCTCCACTCCAGGCTAGCTCACCACGAGTTATGTAACATATACGCCACAATACTAACAGTACTAACTGAAGTAGGATTAACCCAGGCTAGTACCAGAAGATGATAAGTTTGACTCTAGGAGTGGAGAGAGAGAGACTGAGGAGTTACAGTTGATTATCATCATGTGTTACAGACAGTGACAAACATTAACACAGAAAAAAATGGCCATAAACAATTTCATATTTCATTAACAATTCACAAAGTCCAACAAAAGTCCAATGCAGTGTGCATGAGTACCCGTCCTGTGCCACGCACAATTAATAGTTCAGTCCACAAGGGGCGCAAAATGTGAGCGGTAATAGTCCAGGGGAAGGGAAGGTGTTTGTTTGTGTGCGTGAGGTAGTGAGGGAATGAGTCTTTAGGGAAAAAAATTAAAGGAAAAAAGAGGGCGGCTGCAAAGAAGCCTCCTACCGGCCCGACCAGAGCAGGAGGATGGATTTTTCAAAGTTGAGATGAATTGCCACCGTAGCCTGAGAGTTCATGTACACAACTATGGCTTTTAACAGGTCATTCATTCATGGGTTCATCCTTGGCTCCAAGCACGCCATCCAACCTGGCCTGAAAAGAACAGGACCAGAATGAACTCTGTGTACACAATTTACAATTCATTTACACAATAAATAATGCAAATCGCATAAATCAGTAATTAATTCCCATATTGTACAACATTAATTCATCAACATTATAATATAACAATATATAATGTTGACTATCAAATACAAGAGAATGTAAAACAGCAGGGAATATGAATCAATAATTAGCAGCACTGCATTTAGTTGTAAAGTGCATATAGGTTCATGTAAGGCAATTCAAAAATGCATACAAGTCAATGGGTTCAAACAACCATTAAGTTTGGAAATTAAAGTGCATCATATTGTTATCACCTTACAGACATACATTGAAAACCTCACCAATTTTTCTTGACAAAAAAGTTGCATGTAGTTTGGTTACATACATTTGGAGAAAACAGGCATAAAAGACTATGCTAACTGCTCCAGGTAGTTCACTGGAGGCAGCCAATTTAAGTTAAGTCTTGGCATGATTCACCGATTTTGTAGTTTAATTCAGGGGAACACTCCATTGTAGGCTCCGGTAGTCGGCTCCCTATGGCTGAAACAGAATGGAAAACTAGGTTTTCTATTCTCTTTCAGCCATAGGGAGCCGGTTACACCTGACCTATTAAAAGGAACAGGTGGGTCAGAAACAATGAAGCTGTTGAATCATCAAATGTGGTTTTATTTTCCTGTTGTAAAATTGCTGCTCACCGCTCTCCAAGGTTCTCAATCGAGTATGCTGCATCTGGACATCCACGACAAAATCCGAATGTTCTGTAGGGTATTGAAGTGATTTGAGGTTGAGTTGCGGAGGAGTTGCTTGAATGGAGACAATTGTTTGGATTGTGATGGTGTTATGGGCTTACCAGGTCCAAGGGTAAGTAAAGATTGCCCAGATCCAGTTTCCTTTTGGTTCGTTCTCCTTTTTTCCCCAAGTTGGGAAAAATTGCGAAGGAAAGTTTGGTGGAAAGTTTGGTGAGATCTCTTTGTTGAGGTGCTGCTGCTGCTGCTGCTCTCAGACTGAGTTAGTCTGAGTGACTGGTCAGGGAGGTGATTAAGAGCAGGTGAGCTGCTGCACAGAGGGGAGAAGGAGGTTCACTGGTGAAAGGTTGTGATTTGTGCTCTGGGGGTTTGAATGACAGGGAAGGTGTCCAATGGGTGATGAAGGGATGAAAGGGAGCAGGAATATGAGGATTGAGGATGAGGATATGAGGATTCTGTAACCTGGGTTACATCAGCCAATCATGGGCCTGTTGAGAAAGTCTATAAGTAAACACTGATGCGCATTCATGACACAACCTCGGTCGCAATGGCGGATAGTCAGAGAGAAAAAGTACCTACTGTATTCCTGCATTGGCAACAACTGTCCCATAAAAAGCAGGCCAAAGAACAGAAGACTGACTTTTCTAAAAGAGAGTCTAAAAGAGAATCTGACAATAAACACAACAAAACACAGGTAAATATTGGAGCTGCGTTTCAGAGATGAGACAACTGTGGCATAGCATTGGCTTCATCTCACCTCTCGGACCGGTAAGCTGCTAACTTCATTTTCCCGTAATATCTAGATGTGTTGAGGTGCTTGTGAGCAGTGGTAGCAGCCGGCGTACAGGTGCCCCTGTTTTGAAGAGGTTGTAGGACGTGACATTTTGGTCATATTGCACACCTACAGTCGCCAATTTCAGCATTGTAGTCAGTTGGCATCTACAGTAGCACAAAATGCTATTTACTTTCATGTTGACTGGGCCCCATTTCTAATTATCTAAAGTATTTATCTTTATTATATCTGAATTTAATTAGAAGCACCATGGTTGTTTTAAAAAAAACATGCATAGTGGTGTTGTTGAGTTATAAAGCAGCTTGGAAAGTTTACAGATAAAATAAATATGTACAACAAATATTTTAAACAGAGCAATATCTTCATACCACACTCTCCTTCTCTTTATTTCGGATACCGCAAGCTGTATAACAGAGAGTCCAGAGCGTGGAGTTTGAACACCATAAAGGCCCCACATGATGTACACCTGACCAAGAGGACTTATTGTTTGGATATTATTTTTCCGATAGATTTATGTTATATTTTGTCTTATGTGTCATATTTAATGCACCATTACTACTGCCGACTCTGATGTGACAAAAGTTTTTTAAGTCTTTGCTGATGTGATTGGTAATGATAATGATGTTTTACTAGTCTGGTTGTAAATTGCTGAGGAGTCGGAATGAGCGCGAGCGTCTGTATGTGGGCGGGGCCTGCTGGAGCAGTGAGGAAGGGGGGAGGAGGAGCTGAGGGGAAAATTGGTGGGGAGGGGTAGTGTTTACATTCAAAATTTCTCCCAAAAACTTGCACTTCTGAGATCCTGCCTACTCCAGCTTTAAATAAAAAAAATTACAGCAGTTTTTTGCGACTTTTGTCACAAAAAAATCTGTATACAATAGAGAAAAGTAATGGCACACTGACCCCAATCAAACCACACATTTTGATGTATAACTGGTCCAACAATGCTTAGAGCTGTAGGACTGGTAGTGAATCAAAATTTGTCCACTGTATGACAATAGTGCTGATACATTTGTATAGGTGCCAGTGCCTTGGTGCATTTACTCCATGGCCCTAATAAATATCTCTGTTAAACCAAGCCATCCACCACTTTTGTTTAAATATTCTGTGTATTAAAATTTTTGTTAGCACAATTTTGTATATTTTAGCTAGCTACTATTTCTTGTGGTTTAGATAGCTGCTATTTCTGATGTTTAAGCTAGCTGCTCTTTCTTGTGTTTTTTGTCTGTGTCAACAGAGCGATGTGCTAAGGATTTTCTACAAGCTTTGAGGAAATGCTTTCATAGTAATCTTTTCCCTAAACTTAACCAGTAGGCTACTTTAAACATGTTAATCAGTGGTTTTAATGCATAGCTTAACAGTTTTAATGCCTACTTGCAGAAATCTGTGCCTCTGTGACAGAAAACAAACACAACGAAGTGAATTTTATTGTTTATGTACACAAATTAATAGATTCAATTTCAATGGTATTTTACAAACTCCTATGAGATTTCGTTGCATTATTTGGTATGTTCACTGAATTCCAGTGTTATATTGTTTTATGCACATAGCAATATGGAGCACTTCTATTCTGCTGCATGTGAAATCTCATCTTAGCCCTAACTTGCCTTTGCTGGAAGTGTCATCCATTTTCCTGTATTGCTTGTTGATTGATATGACAATTCTGGGCACCTTCAACAAAGTTTCCATCTTATTCAGAGAAATATATCTGCCATTCCTACCACGAGTATATACTTTTTTTTTTAGTTTTGGGTTTTTTGGGTTTAATGTTTAAACATTGAGACAGATGACAACTGCTGTATAATTGTAAAAGTTATTGTTTTCTTCATTTATTGTAGCAATAATAAAGAAAGACAATCCTCAAACTAGATGAACAGTCCCCCTACCTATTCCCTAATCCACCTTATTACTGTAAATGCCACCTATGTATAAATCATAGTCAAACACAGATCTCTGCCTGTCAGTAGTCAGTGTGCAGGTGTGGCTGTTATGGATTTGATGCTCCTCCACAGAAAGTGTGTGATTCTGCTTACATAAAAACAGACAATCACAGAGGTGAAAGGATGTCCTTACACCTCTAAAAATAATGGTGATAATGCAACACTTTTCTCACCATTAAGGCCATTATTACACTATAAGCTGTTATTACATATGAGCAACATCGGTAAGGCTAATCATGTAATAAGTTATTACATTATTACATGATGCACAAAGACATTATTACATTGTACGCTCAAGATTTTATTACATCATGAGCCAATTATTACATTATGAACTTTTATTTCATTTAACCCTTACATACTGTTCGGGTCAAATTTGACCCGTTTTGACTTTTAACAGCAGTAAAAATACCCTAAACGTCATTCTTTAAGCCTGAAACTTGATGACTTTTTCTAAAGTGGCCCAAAATAAATGAAATTAATTTAAAAATAATCATGTGTATTTTTGTTTTTGTGCTACAAATTTATCCCCTCTGAGGCTGTTACGGGTCAAATTTGACCTGTATCTATTTACCGTATTTTCGGGACTATAAGCAGCGGTTTTTTTTCATAGTTTGGCCGGGGGTGCGCCTTATACTCCGGAGCGACTTATGTGTGAAATTATTAACACATTATTACAGGTATATCATTTCACATGTTATTTTCACACTAAACCGCAAGAGGGCGCTCTAGGCCTGTAGACTTTTGCTGACGTAGAAGAGGAAGCGCCGCATCTTCTACCTCCAGTGTTGTGCCGTAGAATGCACCCCTGCCGTAAAATGCAGGTTGAAAGTACTTAACAAGGCGAAAATAATTCAAGTTTTCCTTCCCATTGGATGATTTCAAAAGCGTCTGCCTTAAATAATTTCATTCAGGCTATTCAGATAAGCCGAAAAAATAGCCCTCTGATTTGGAATATTTGCTGTCCCGAAAATATAATGTTCGCTAGCTTGACAGCTTACTGTACAGTTTATATACCCAAGCACACCTCCGTATGTGCATTTTTGAGACACATAAAAACAGAATGAAAGTTGTCATGATCAAATAGTCGTATTTTTTAAAATATGAGATCATTTTCTTCCACTTTAAGAAGCTAACAAGTGGAGGGGATGCAGGGGGTGCATTCTACGGCATAACACCGGAGTTAGCGGAGGTGATGAAAAGTGACACCGAGGATGAAGATTTCATTGGATTTTAGTTATCGGTATTTGGAGTGACACGGATGGTTTTGGTAAACTTCTTAGCATGTTATTTATGCTATAGTTATTGGAATAACTCTTAATATGTTATGTTAAGATACCAGGCACGTTCTCAGTTGTGTCATGTAACGTAAGCATACCGTTCAGCCTGTTGTTGCCTCTATTCTATTTTTATTTGAAATTGTTCGTCATTTAAATTTTAAATGACGTCTGTTCTTGATGTTGGATTTTATCAAATAAATTTCCCCCCAAAATGCGACTTATACTCCAGTGCGACTTATATATGTTTTTTCCTTCTTTATTATGCATTTTATGGCTGGTGCAACTTGTACTCCGGAGCGACTTATAGTCCGGAAAATACAGTAGATGGATTTTTGATCTACCAGTGTGGGACAAGTGACAAGCAGTGAGAACAGTGTTCAAGATAAAGTTTGTGGTTCAATAAAATATATTCAAATCATTCTGAAACTCTCATTACCTTGACAGAAACACACACGCACGCAGGCATGCACGCAGGCATGCACACAGACACACAGACACACCAAGTTCCTTGTGACCACACATGTCACAAAGACCTTTGGTAAAAGAAAGCTGCTCTTTGAACTCTTTGAAGGGGTAGGGGGAACCTAAAATATTGAAAAAGTAAACAAACAACACATGAGTGATCATATATGGAGTACAAAGGGATCAGAAGTCATCTCGAGGTCAGAGTGTGCCTTGACACAGACATCACAGGTGCACCTGCTCCTGCAATATGATGTACAAAGTAACAAATTAGAATCTGTTTGATTAGAAGGGAGGTAGTGGGAGATGTAACATTATAGAAGGGAGAGAGAGCTGCCATTTCAGTGGTAGACATCATGGCAGCAAGACTAAATGTGCAACAGACCCTGGATCTACTCCTTTGAGATGAGTCTGACACGGATTTAGAGGAGGACGTGTCAGAGCAGGAAGACAATGAAGAAGAAAACTCCCCATCTGATGAGAATGACTCTGATGAAGAAGAGGAGAGAGCTGAGGAGACATTTATGTTCAAAAACGGCACTATCTGTTGGTCATCACTTCCACAAGGTGTTGCAGGCAGGAAGGCAGCAGAAAATGACATAAAAATGACTCCAGGACCCACACGACTAGCCATCTCCCATGCAGCTGACATTCTGTCCACATTCAAGCTCTTCCTCCGTCCGGCCATTGAAAAAATTGCCATTGAAATGACAAATGTGGAGGGGGTTCGTCGCTATGGCCAAGAATGGAAGACCATGGACGTCACTGACCTGCATGCCTACATAGGGCTTCTAATACTGGCTGGTGTCTACAGATCCCGGGGTGAGGCAGCTTCTAGTCTCTGGAATGATGAGACGGGAAGACCCATTTTTCGAGCCACCATGTCGCTGGGAAAGTTTCACACCATATCAGCAGTGCTCAGATTTGATGATCGTGAGACAAGACCTGCACTGCGCATCGCTGACAAACTGGCAGCCATCAGGGATGTCTGGGATAAGTGGGTGCAACAGCTGCCTCTCATGTACAATCCCGGTCCTGATGTCACTGTGGATGAAAGACTGGTTCCATTCAAAGGTAAGAATGGTCTTTTATTGTTGACAATGCCTCAGTATGGCTCAGTCATATCAAATGGTCAGATTTCAGACCAAATTCTCTGATATCCTATGCAATTCTATATGCAAAGGACATTGTAAAAAACAAGCTAGAGTAGTAGGATGGAAATAATTTTTCTCTGTTTTGTGTTTTCTACAGGTCGCTGTCCTTTTCGTCAGTATATGCCAAGCAAACCTGGAAAATATGGCATCAAGTTATGGGTTGCTTGTGATGCACGCTCAAATTACGCTTGGAACATGCAAGTTTACACAGGGAAGCCAGCTAGTGGAGCTCCAGAGAAAAAAACAAGGCATGCGTGTTGTCCTGGAGATGACAGAAGGGCTGAGAGGACACAATGTGACCTGTGATAACTTCTTCACATCTCGTGAGCTGGGTCAGGTGCTGCTGAAGAAGAGAATCACAATGGTTGGCACTGTGAGGAGGAATAAACCTGAGCTACCACCTGCCCTAACTGCAACAAGAGGAAGAGAGGTCTTTTCTTCCAAGTTTGCCTTTACTCAGGACACCACAGTCGTCTCATGTATGCCAAAGAACAGCAAGAATGTGATCCTTATGAGCACACTACACAAGGCTGCAGAGGTAAGCACTAGGGAAGACAAAAAAACAGCCATCATCCTGGACTACAATGCCAACAAAGGCGGGGTGGACAATCTAGATAAGGTCACAGGCACATACAGCTGCAAGAGGAAAACTGCCCGCTGGCCCCTTATCCTATTCCACAATATCATTGATGTATCCACGTACAATGCCTTCATAATTTGGAGTGAGCTAAACCCATCCTGGCGGGCAAGCAAGAGGAACTGGAGGAGGTTCTTTTTGGAGGAACTTGGAAAGGCCCTTGTGGCTCCTTCCATGGAAAAACGGCGACATCTCCCCCGCACAGAAGCCTCAGCAGCATTGGTGAGGGCAGTGCAGCAGTCTGAGCCTGGCCCTGATCAAACAGCATCCACAGGGGCACAGAAGAGAAAGAGATGCAGCCTCTGCCCTGCAAAAAAAGACAGCAAAACTGGGACAACCTGCTGCAAATGTGGCAAACACATGTGCAAGCTGCACACACGTAAAGTGTCCTACCTTTGCTGTGAATGCGGAGAAGAGCAGTGAGGACAGTGACCAAAAGAGAGAACAGTGTTCAATATAAAGTTTGTTGATCAATAAAATATTTTCAAATCATTGTGAATTCTATATTCTTTAATTTCTTACATAATATTACATGACATTATCCTGTGTAATAGAAATTCTTCTCTAAAACATATATTTCACCAAAAACGAGTGGTGTTAAAACTTAAAAAATACACTTTTCCTGCTCTTTGAAAATTTTAGAAAGGACTAATCAATAATTTTTTGAAGTAGCACAGATCATTTAAACATTATGAATAGGTTTGGGGTTAGAACTACAGTGAAAATACTTGCTTCATGGGAAATTCTTGGTCCGGGTCAATTTTGACCCGGAAAGTACTGTGAGGGTGCAGAATTTGAACAGTATGTGAGGGTTAAGTTATTACACTATGAGCCGTTATTACATTATGAGCCATTTTAACCATAATGAGCTGCTACACCCGCCTCTGGGATCCTTCTGAATTTGGTGTCAAATGTTGGTTTTGGAAAGCAAGAACTGACTAAACCTGGATGAAAGGCCAGCTTTGGAAAAAATAAAATAAAATAAAAGAGAGGAATTGACCAAATGAAGAGATATCAAGTCCACATAGTCTGTGCTCATGGCCTAGTCCCTTACTTGGTGGATTCACAAGTTAAACATCATTTTTTTTCTAATAGGGTTATACAGATGATTTAGAGCAATCTAATGAAAAATTTTCTTGTACTTTGACCACAGCAGTGCAGTGTTTATGTTGACTTGCTTAGAGAAATTTAGAGAGAAACTGTATATCAGCTTGCAGCAGAAAGCACTGCCTTTAGTCCCGGCTCTGTGAGCTGGAAGACACTTCTTTCGGGAACCTCCAAGCAGTAATGATCTGACCTTGCCTCAGAGAAGGCCATCCAAAGCCAAGACTTTGTCAGTTGGAGAGATCCTCATCTGAAAAGACAAGAAGATGATTCCAACCCGCTGCTTCATTTGATGCAGGGGTGACCACCAACATGCTCCCCCAGTTTGACCCTAATCCCTCTGCCACTCGAGAGGAGCAAGTTACTGTCACATGCACCCTCCATCTCTGGGAAAGTGAGCAGATCTGAGAGCCCATTACTGTTACGGCTGTATGTTTGTGTGTGGTTTTTCCCCCTTTTGTCTTCCTTAGATCTGCCCAGGCGAAGTCACTTACTGACAATCAGCCTCACCTGGTCCGGAGGGTTTAAAACCCAGGAGCTGCCTGCAGAGGGGAAAGGCATTAGGAGTGGAAGTGCTGCCCCGCTGCCTCTCATTCAGGGGATTCTTGTGTTTTGTATTGTTTCTGTGTTAAAGTTAAATTGTTAATTTGCTCTTTCGTTGATCTTTGAGGAATTATTTAATTTTATGTTGTTTTTTTTGTTGTTGTTTTTTTCAATAAATGTCTCGTTTAATTTTTGAGGGTGTTTCCTGTTACTTTTAATGGGTCAAAGTGCAAGTAGTCATTGGCCCCATAGGGCTGCCTTAGGGTGGAGGGTAACATTACTGATAAACTGATTTTACAGCATTAATGACAGCTAATGACTGTTTTCTATTGATGGCGCTTGTGCATGCCAATAATCTGGCAATGCGGAGAAATCTTGAAAGGTCCTTGCACATGAACAATGCAGTATTATTGACACAATGAGTGACCAAATTGACACTGACAGGGAAATTACAAAATTAATGTTTCACCCTAGGTTTTCAATCCAGGCTCTCCATGTACCATTAGTCAAAAGGGCTTTCCATTGACATGTAGACTGACATTTAGTAGAAGTATTCTTTCAGCTGTGACAGCAAGAAATGTGAGCTCACTGAGGCACAATGTTATTCAGCTCCAGTACCCAGTTGTTTTATAAAAGGCATCTGTTTTTATTTATGCTTAGACATTATAGAGATTTAAAACAGGATGAAGAGGGTGCTTAAAAACCTAAACCGTCATCTCCATATTCTCCAGCTGAGTAGGCTTCACTGGAGTGAGAGAATGAAAATTACAGCCTGTCAGGCATCAAAGACATAGAGAAATGGGGAAATGGTGGACTTTTAACAGCCATCCCTTTTAGATACCCACAAAAACATTCTTGCAGGTCCGTTAAACACTGTGTCAGGCAAGGTCACTCCCCCTTAGTTAAGTCTGAGGGGAAATTGAACCCACATTTAAAGATTAAACATTACATCAGTTGAGGCAAAAGCTTAATTGGGCTGATATGCCTTGATGTAAACACAGTACTTGCAGGTGTGCAAGCCCTTAAGGCATATGAGGAATAAGTACTTTGTGATTTTCATTTATTACCACAGTTTGAATTTGTTATTTATTTAAACATTTAAAATAAGTAATTTTATGTAAATAAGCCTAAGCCACCAGCAGTGTTGTCTAAACATACCAGACTTCTTGATGTTTAATTACTTCCCCACCCAATATTAGTTTAATATTACTTCTTTACTAAAACAGTGAGGACAGCCAACAGTAGTCTGAGCATGCAGATTCCACACATCTCATTAAAACATGCACAGCATGCAATACAGGCATTTAATTACTTTCCAAAGTAAGCAATATAATTGAGGATCATGACTTTCTTCCCTCCTGAGTTTCACTTTGCTGCAAAAAAACACAACAGTGAAACTAAGAAAGTCATCAGTGTTTCTATGTTTGCACCAGCACATAACCACATTTTTTGGACAATGCACCGCAATTGTACTTGTGCTTCTTCTGTTTTTTTTCCCCCATTTCATATTTGCTTGTGTAGAAAAATAAGATAATACTCACTGAGATTCAAGGACCATTTGATGTTCAGACTTTTAAACAGGATACATAACAGCATAAAACCCATTTCCTTTCTTTTTTTTTTTTTTTTTTGGACTTAAGGAAAATAAAACGAGTCTCACAGTAAAATGCTTTTTTGTCTGGGAAAGGTTCACAGGTTCCCCATGTTAATAGATCATTGCTTTGAATAATGAAGTGTAAGTGTGAGACAATGAAAAAAAGTGTCTTAGCATAACAACTATTAGTTGGTAGTTTAAACAATAATCCAAAGTTACAATATCCTTTGTGCACCTTAAAATGTGGACACACTCACTCATGTTAGCACATAGCTGTATGTGTAAATTACAACTTGAACCTTGCAATTCTAGTTTAAATTCAAAAGCAGCTTATTATCAAGCTATGAATGTTATGCAGTGATACCCTGCAGTGGCTGCTGGTGTGTTATGTCCAATAAAACAACAGCTGATCCTGTTAGCAGCTCTTCGCCCCCTGGTCACAACCACTATAACGCCTGGTTCACACAGGAGGCTGACGCGCCGCGCTCGAAGCGCTGGCACGCGCACGCTTGGCTGTTCACAAATAAAGCATTTTCTGCTGCGCTCTGACGCGCCGGTCAGACATCGACTGAGCCCGGCTGTTTCCGTCTGCCCTCAGTTTTCCACACTCATGAGCGCTTTAAACATGGGTAAATCAATATTTATTTACATTTTTATTATGTCATACATAAATTAAATATTGGCAGCATCTTCAAGTATTGTTTTAAATGATTATATAGGGGTAAACAACAGTTAATTAGGGAATCTGTTGACTCCGTTGTATGTGTAGCCTTGTTAGCTCGAGGCTATTGACTCTATCGTAATAAAGTCCCCCTCCTTTGTCTCAATAACATCACTGAATCTCTGCAGCTCTCCCTCCATGTGTGTGTGTGTGTGTGTGTGTGTGTGTTTGTGCGTGCATGCGTGTTCATTGGGAAAAAATAGACAGACAAGCAACACCATAAATCCTTTTTTTCTAATTTATTGAAATATATTTTATTTTGACAATTGACCGGATTCTCATGCATCTCCTGTTCCCGACTTCCTGTCTGGTCCGATCTGGTCTGTCCAGCTTTACAATTGGCGCTTGCAGCGCGTGTGGCTCGCACGAAAAATAGAGAGAAGCGTAGCGGCTGCGCCTCAGAGCGCCTTCCTGTGTGAACGGTCACATAGGTTAACATGGGCGCCGATCTGAAACTCGGTGCGTGGCGCTTCCTGTGTGAACCAGGCGTCAAGCTAACATCAAGCTAGTTTCAAAGAAAGAGGAAACTGGTGCTAAGAGTTCTCCAGTGATGCCGATCAGGTGACAAGCTTCAATCTACAATTACTTTTATATGATTGCATATTATAAAATAGTCTGCTAGCATTAGCTCTCCATCCCTTCGCTACCACTGTGAATGTTAACGTGTGTGACAGGAAAATATAGTGAGCAGTTAACTATAGGGTTGCCAACTTCAAGAGATTGAAATAATGGACAGTTAATCTGAATCCAAAAAATGTTTGGTGTCCCTTATAAAATTTGGGTGTCTCTTATTTCAGGCCAGGCCGAAAAATGTGGGGATTTAGGTTGGGTCAACACTTTATTACAGTTAACTGTAATTATATAACCTCCTTAAAATATTACAAACTAAAACATCACATCCTATTGTAAATCAGTAAACATGAGTTTTCCAGGTTTGGCCTTGCAAAAAACAAACCAAAAAACAAAGACTAACTTCTCTGGCAAGTTGCACCCCCTGTTGGCAAATCCTAAAACTGCCTATGGAACCAGAGAGGACATAATCACACACCCCTTAGTACGTACTTGTGTCCAGAGCTGTGTAAAACTGAAAGCCTCATTACAGCATAGCTGCAGAGATTTCTGTTACAGTTGCTATGCATAACTCGCTCTTGTTAACAACCCATAGCTGGTAGTCTGCTGTGTTTTGTAACTCGTCCCATAGCTCAGCTGCCAAGCTGCTGATGTGAGCCTGTGACAGTGTGTTAGGCAGAGAGATGCTGTCAGAAAATACGGGAAAAGGAGCATCCCGTTTTAGTTCATTACGGGACATGTCTTTTTGTTTTCAAATACAGTACGATCCCGATTTTTACAGTACAGTTTGGAACCCTAGTTAACTATTACTAACTTATTTTCCCATCCTTAGACTCACTTTTCTTTTGTTTCAAGGCAGACTCCTCTTGCTAATACAAGCAGTTTAAGAAATTGGCACTTTTTTGGTTTACACATGGTTCTCGCTCAAACAATCACAGTATAGCGAAAAAATAAAACACAGGAGTAGTAAGAAAAATGCAGTAATGATGGTTTTTATTCACATCCATCCTTCAAAGTGCAAAAATATTTATAAATAAATAAAAATGCCAACAGGGCAAGAGTTCTACAATAACTCATAAATTCACACTTAGAACCAGAAACACAGCAGCAATACAATCTTGCACTAGTTTGCATCTGATTTTAATGAGGTCGTTAGAGTAAATAACCAAAAAGAAGCCAAAAGGTGTTAATGAGTAAACCAAATAATCCCAGAACACATCCACTCCTTTAACCAACTGTTATATTGAACTTTTCTCAGTTGAAAATCTGTTAATTGTACAGGAGCAAAGTAAATCCAGAGCCAGTGTGAACCAGCCTACAGCAGTCATTTGGAAAGCATTTTTTTTTTTTTTTTACATTGTGGATTATTGCTTGATGATGTCAAGCCTTAATAATGTTCAAACTACAGATGAAACTAATGAATACATATTTAAAATGTTACAGCAAAAATATATGGGGGGCATGTCCCCTTGATTCCCCTACTCACTCACACTGTCAAAGCATTAAACTGAAGTCAGGATGTGAAAATGCTCATAAAAATAACTACTTAACATCGACAACTCTGGGGAACTTGATGCATGGTTACGGGCCTTTTCGGGACATTTGTATTTCATTGCTGAGAAAGACATATCTGTGTGGTGCTTTTAATGAGTTTGTCTGCTGAGCTTTTTTTTAAGGCTTTTTATATGTTGACATAGGTATAATTTCAGTGGCTAATAATTAATGTTACAAGTGGCACATTACCTGGAGGTGCTCAGGTTCTGATGGGCAGCCTCTCTACAGGGGGATATTGCACATTCTACAGGCATCTAGTGGTTCTGACACTTTTACCACCCACACACCAAGGTTGGCTGTTACAGCTACTTAAGAGCTGAGACAATAATTTATACCTCCAAGCTGAGGAGTTCATATATCATCCCATTTACAATAAGTTATGAGTAGGACATAGCAGAAGATTTACTGCACATACATGGCACCGAGTGAAAGTTAGTGTCAACTTTTAGATGACTGAAGGCAATGTCATTATCTGTTCACATTTTATTGGTGACTTTTACAGCTTTTCTAATATTGATTTTGCAATCACCTTCAGTCTAAAGACAAGACAAGGAGCAATTAACGGACCACTCTTAGGACAAAAATATCTTCAAACATCTTAATTACCTATCACGCCGCAAGATTTTTTAACGAGTAACTACAAACTAATGTCTTAATTGCCCTTGAATTATGTGGATCATGCAAGTTAAACTCTGATTTTAATACTCTGTGCTGTGCGTATTGCAAAAAAAAAAAAGACTGGCAAAAGTGATAATTATTGTCATATCGTATTTGATGTTATGAAGTGACAATGCAATAACCTAGTATGTTTTTCTAATTTAAAAACATTTCATTAGGGTTTAACTTTTTCTTTTTACCACTGGTGCTATCATAGAGAGGCAATGATGCAGACAAAAGCCAGTGCCACTGAGGATTTAAAGGTTCCCAGCACCACATTTCTCTGAGACTTTTTCATCTTTAGACCAACACAAGTGAACTGTGTAATAATACATTTTGTTATCACAGAAAAAGTTGTCACCTGTTAACTTTTAATCTGGTACCCTAAAAGCTTTACACATAGGTGTTCTCTGCAGTTTTCTATGACTTACACTCCAGCTCAGGCTGCAGTTTTGCAAAACAGTAAAGCAATTACAGAAGATCTGCAAACTGGTTTTATTAAAAATAATATAAAAGATACAGATAGCACTTTATGTAAAGAGGAAATGAATTGCTTGTCTTGCCACTGCAGCTATAACAGCTGATAGCAGAGCCCAGCGTGTACACACTACTGAGGACTAATCGAGTAGCAAGAGAGAACACCTCTCACATTCAGACTGCATGAGTCTGCTCAGCATCAAAGCTGCTGTGGCAATCAGAATCAGAAGGGGTTTTATTGCCATTGTCGATGAACAGGGTTCACAAACTAGGAATTTGTTTTGGCATGATGGTGCAACAACAAACAGAGAGAAATATAAAATACTATGATAAACTAATAAGAGCATGCAAGAAATATATAAAGTATAAAAATATAAAAGTATAAAAGCTTATGTACAATGCTATGTGCAATAAGTATAAAAGGCTATGTACAACTAAACAATCTAGATCTACAGTGCAGTGCAAGGAGTGCAATTAAAAAATCCAAATACATTAAACTAAAATGACCAGTGATAAAGTGCCGGTGTTAAAGTGACTGAGTTATAAAGTGTTCATGAGTCTGACGGCAGAGGGGAAGAAACTGTTCTCATGGTGGGAGATTCTGGTCCGAATGGACCGTAGCCTCCTGCCCCAGGGGAGTGTCTCAAGTAGTCCATGTGCAGGGTGAGAAGGGTCAGCTGTGATCTGACCTGCTCGGCCCCGAGTCCTGGAGACGTACAGGTCATGGAGAGATGGAAGGCTACAGCTGATCACCCTCTCAGCAGAGCCCACAATGCGCAGCAGTCTGTGTCCGTCCCTGGCAGTGCCCCCGGCGTACCACACCGTGATGGAGGAGCTGAGGATGGACTTGATGATGGCCGTGTAGAACTGCACCATCAGCTGGACCGGCAGCTTGGCTTTCCTCAGCTGCTGCAGGAAGTGCATCCTCTGCTGGGCCTTCTTGATGAGGGAGCTGATAGTTGGCTCCCACTTGAGGTCCTGGGTGATGGTGGTGCCGAGGAAGCGGTAACAGTCCACAGTGGTGATGGGGGAGTTGGTGAGGTCGAGGGAGGGCAGGGGGGCTGTGGCTTTCCTGAAGTCCACAATCATCTCCACTGTCTTCTGGGCGTTGAGTTCTAGATTGATGCTGCAGCACCAGGTCACCAGCCGGTCCACCTCCATCCTATAGGCAGACTCATCTCCATCCGAAATGAGTCCGATGAGGGTGGTGTCATCTGCAAACTTGATGAGCTTTACGGAGGTATGGTTGGAGGTGCAGCAGTTGGTGTACAGGGAGAAGAGCAGAGGGGAAAGTACACAGCCCTGTGGAGATCCTGTGCTGAGAGTCTGAGTGTCCGAGACATTCTTCCCCAACCGCACACACTGACTCTGGTCCGTCAGGAAGTCTGTGACGCAACTGGAGGTGGAGTCAGGCACGTGGAGCAGGAAAGCTTGATCTGGAGCAAAGCTGGAAGGATGGTGTTGAATGCAGAGCTGAAGTCCACGAACAAAATCCTTGCATAGGTTCCTGGGGAGTCCAGGTGCTGCAGGATGAAGTGCAGAGCCAGGTTTATGGCGTTGTCCACAGACCTGTTGGCTCTGTAGACAAACTGCAGAGGGTCCAGGAGGGGGTCGGTGATGGACTTCAGGTGGGATAAGACCAGGCGTTCAAAGGTCTTCATGACTACAGACGTAAGAGCAACCGGCCTGTAGTCATTAAGTCTAGTTATGCAAGGTTTCTTGGGGACGGGAACAATGATGGAGGGCTTGAAACAGGCTGGAACATGGCATGACTCCAGGGAGGTGTTGAAGATCCCCTTGAAGACTGGAGCTAGCTCATCAGCGCAGTGTCTCAGAGTGGCAGGAGAGACACAGTCCGGGCCAGCAGCCTTGTGTGGACTCAGCCACTTAAACAGTCTGTTTACTTCCTCTTCATGGACCAAGAGAGCAGCGGGGGGAGGGGGTAGGTCCAGAGTGGTTGGATTTCCAGTTGTGTGGGGGGTGAGGGGATGTGAGTCCATGACTTCGAAGCGTGAATAGAAGTCGTTCAGGTCGTTGGCTAGTTTCAAGTCGTCAGTTGAAAGAGGTGCTTTGGGCTTGTAGTTTGTTATCTCTTTAAACCCCCTCCACACCGAGGCAGGGTCATTGGCAGAAAATCTTTGCTCCAGACGTGCATTGTATCTTTCTTTAGCCTTTGCCACCTCCTTGCTAAAACTGTACTTGGCACATTTGTAGCAGTCTCTGTCACCTTCCCTGAAAGCCACCTCTTTCTGCTGACGGAGCTGCTGGAGTTTTGATGTAAACCAGGGCTTGTCGTTGTTGTATTTCACCCTGGTACGCTGTAGGATGATGTTGTCTTCATAGAAATGAATATACAACGTCATAGTGTCTGTGTAATCGTCTAAAATGTCTGTAGAAGCCTTAAACATATCCTAGTTCGTGGTGCCCAAGCACGTGCGTAGCTCCTCCACAGCTTCACTGGTCCACACTTTGGATGTCCTCACTACAGGTTTATAGAGTTTTAGTCTCTGTCTGTATGCAGGGATCAGGTGAACCATGGCGTGATCTGAGAGTCCCAAAGCTGCACGAGCCACAGCGCGATAGGCACCACTCACTGTAGTGTAACAGTGATCTAATGTGTTCCCCTCTCTGGTTGGGCATGTTACAAACTGTTTGTATTTTGGTAGTTCCTGACTGAGATTTCCTTTGTTAAAATCACCAATGATTATAACTAAGGAGTCTGGAATCCTTGAATTACCTTACCTATGTTTACTGAAATATCCAGTAAAAATGGAACAGAATGATTTTTTCGTAAGTCGTATTTTTACCATCTGAATAACATCTTTCAAAATGTTCTTTCTCTACAAATGAAGGGGAAAAGGCTAAATGGTTCTCATCTGCTCATTGTTAGCTCACAAGTCATAGCTATTAGCTAGTTCATTGTTTGTTTTAGTCTCCTGCTTGAAAAATTGTAAGGAGGTAAAATTTTGTACATTTTTCAAATAGTTTTTTTTTCTGCTGGAAACAAGGTGATCTTAACTGTTGGGCTACACATTGTAGCTGTAGTTGGTCTCTATGAGGGACCACTTGTTTTCAAATGGAGCCAAACATTTACCTTAATGAGCAGCCACTCTTCCAGAAATGCAACAGCAAATGAGTAACTGATGTAAATGTGTATCTTTGCAGTTATTACCTTATAATGTTACTGTACTGCATCTATATTGCTGCTCTTTTGCCACCAGCTCCTGGGGAAAGTCATTTACTTAAAGATGCAAAATTTGTTTGTTTGATCCAAGCTTTCCGTTTAGGTGCAGGGCAGGTCATTGTTTCTAAGTTAATATAGGTTTATTCATTTAAAACAGCTGCCTGCTGCTGTTTTGGGAGGTGAGACTGATCTTATGAAGACTGAATTAGAAAGCAGAAGCATTGGCAAGACATGTACAGATATAAGAACATATAATGAAAGTTTGAAATGCTCTTATGGTTTGTCACAATAAGCAATGTGTTTGACATTACATATTGTCCTTTTATGCACCATTGATATGGAAATAAAGTTAAGTGCAGTTCAAAGATATAGCCAGGTGTATTTAAAAAAAAAAAAAAAAACTTTTTTCATGCTGGAGTCTTAAAATAATAAAACTGTGACCTACAGCAATACATCACTGCTGAATTGTGTTGCATCACTGCAGTCAGTTAAAATTAGTAATCATGTTGTGGCAGCATTTGAACATTTTGTTCTGTTTCACAAAAAATAGTTTGGATGAACTACAGTGGGGGAAAAATTGACAAAGTTTCATCAACTTTAAACTGTTAAAGGCTGAACTATCTTAATTTAGGTTTCCTTGTCTAATTCCATCAGTTGAATAATCAAGGATGAGTCTAAAAGGATGCAAAATTTGTTGCATCTACAGTAAAACCCCACAAATTTACAGTGTATCCATGTAAGTTCTTAAATAAGGTCAGTATCTCTCCATCATATAAATGGCACCTTGTACTTCTTGGCCTTAGCTGAACACTTTTACCTACATTATTATGATGAGCCTGAGGCATCGTTCTTCGGATAGCTAAATATAGCTCAAGGCTGCAAGGATGAATTGAAGGCGATGTGATATCAGAGAGGGAAATTACTTGAGCTTAATGAAGTACATAACTCATGGCTCACATACTGCATACTGTATAGCACACTCTCTCAATCTGTGAGGACAGTTTAGAGGGCACTACACACACTTGTAGAGGGTAATAGTTCATTTGCAAGCATGCTTCTCTACTGAGACCTCTTTCCAGCTTGACCCAGTTTATGGGCGGAAATTATGACTCAATCATCACTTTGAATGGTTGTTGAATCATTTTAACTGATAATAGGTTTTGTATTTCTGGTGGGTCAGGTGTTAAGGGGCTTAGCGAGGCAAATGGGGCTTTAAGTGGTAAAAACACTCATGTATATGGTATTTAACATGTGTTTTCGGTGCACAGTGGAGTATTCATATTAACAGTGAGAGAGAAGTACCACATTCATAGCAAAAGGGCTGTTTTTGAAAGTATTTCTTAGTACAGTTAAACAGACTTGAATAGATGAGACTGAACATATTTATTCAAATTGTTTATGACCAAAATCGTACCATTCACATCAGGATTTGTGAATGAACTATACATTTTAAACACCAATCTATAGATTCAGGAAACCAGACCTGGCTTCATTAAATCCTACCTCTAAGGTTTGTCATGTGTGCCATTGAGTACAATGTGTCTTTTGAAAAATATACTTATAGTCAAATGTTATGCAATGAGCAAAAGGAATTATAAAAAGTCAAAATTAAAATTAGCTTTTGACATTTTATCATGCATTGCACCTTACACACACACACACCAGTTTGTACAACAGGCAGTATGTTACTATTGTAACTGCAGGTGAGGGTAGTTTTTATCTCTGAATTCTCTGTATTCTGATTTGAGGGTTTTGGGGAGATACAACCAGGTGATAAAAAAAGAGACACACCATTATTACATAAACTGTTCATATACTACAACCAGTGCTTTTCTAGCTGTGAGGTTTTAGAAGATTTAACTTCTTTACTCCTCAAACAAAAAATTCAATAACACCATATGAGAAACTGACACACATACACAAAAAAGTTAGGAACCACTACTTTGATCTTAACATTGCACTGTACTTTTAAAGGTAACCATGTAACTTTTTGGATAAAACCAAGATGTGTAGCTATCATTAAGAGTGTAAAAGGTTCATTTCCTCAACATCAGTCCATCAGATATGCACAACTGCCCTCATGATTGTTCTTGAGTCAGATACATGAGTAAATTAACCCTGTTACTTCCCATTACTGCTGGTCAGAGCTGTACAACTTCAGGCAATGCTTCGACTCCTATTCCAGGGCAGATATTGTGTGTGGTTTTCCAACCTTTCCAAGGTTCCAAATGCTCCAGTATCCTTCTGACAAAGGTATTTGTAGCATCAAAGGCATCTCAGACCAAATAAACCCACAAAGAATGTTTTATCAGAGCACCAAAGAGGGTTAGTGACGTTTTTTCGTGGGGTTAACCGTTTCCAAATGGTTGGGGTAGTAGATTGGAAGTGAAGGGCGTGCTCCTGGGTGAGAGAGGGGAGAGTGGATGAGAGAGCGGCCCTAATGCGGCATCTCATTACAACCTCTGTCAGGATCCCTCTATTCTACCATCAGCTCCCCTTAACTTGGTAAGAGCCCAACTGTCGTTTCGAGTGAGTGTGCCGCCAAGGAGGCATTTACAAATAAATGAAAAATGTCACATTTGATTTCACTCCTCTCCGACTGCAGCGCCTCAGCTTTGTCACAAACTGTCTTTGTTGTTCTGGTCTCTCGCAGGTCCCGCTCCCGGTCGCTGTGGATAGGTTCTGGCAGGTTCAGGCCCTCTGCGTCTCTCCCAGGGTAAGCCCGCAGACAATGACCTTCCCTTAATGTATTTGAAACACCGAATCCTCTGTTTTTTCCTTCCCTATTCTTCTTCTCTCATCCTTGTCCTTGAATGGGATGTAAGAGAGCAGGAAGTTGGAGCTGGTTTTGCGATGACGGGGAAATAAAGAGCTGGTAAAATGGCGTGGCATGTCGTTCAGGGAGAGTCAGCATGGTATCGTCTTTAACCCCTGGTTTTGTGGTTTGCCTGGGATGCCCCCGCTCCTGCTGCCGCCGCCACAAAGGCAGGGAATTAAAGACACACTGCACCTTTTTGATCCCGTTTGTTCGCTGAAATTTTTCTATTCTCGATTTTCGGAGATGTTCTCGTGATTTTTATTGTTCCGATATGAAGTCTTAGGATAATTCTGCTTTTTGCTGTGCTAAATGACAGCCTTTTTTTTGTAATTCTCGTAATATGTTTCAACTATGTGCTATAATTTCCTGTCATGATAAGCTTCTTACAAGAAAATATAGTGTAAAACACTATTATCTTGTAGCAGCATGACTTAATTTTCATCTTTCGGGTTATATTTTGATACATTTTGATTGACTGCAGAACTGCTTCGCTCAATATTACGTAAAAGGGTTTAAATATTACGTTAAAATCATTGCTGCACTCATTTTAACCAGAAGATTGACTGCAAAAATGTTATTGCTTGCAAATCAGAGTTTATTTTGCAGTGTTTACATTTTGCAGGCATGTAGAGGCAGCAAAACACGTAAACTCATTTGATGCAAGCATTCATTTTAACTATACAATCCACTGCTATGTATTTGTAGCCATTTTAGGTTGCATCTTACAGCATGTGCCAGTTTTATCGTTTCCTTCTGAGCAGTTTTCTAATCACTTTAAAAGGTATAATCCCGTAGACGTAATTAAAGCACAGTTGTGAGGATTTAATTCCAGCACCATCACAGTATTGTCATTTAGGAAGCTTTCCAGCGTGGTGGCTCCATTGTGTTTGCTCCACTTTCTCTATCACAGTAAAGCCACAGCTGCTGCTAAACACTCCGGCTTCAGATCCACGTCAAACCATTCTCTAAATCTTTATTGTTTAATACAAGGTGTTTTAAATGTTGCTTTATAGTGTTTGAATGACACGTTACAAGGATGCATCAGCTCTCTGCCCATCAGCTATGCTGAAGCAGCAGAACAGTTTGTTTTGATGTTGAAAATCACGACCACAGAGGTCTTTTTCACTAAGGATTACCTTCCATCAGACCGCTTATGCAGTCACTTCAAAGACTAGACTTTCATACCACAACCGCTTCAGGTTTGTCAACCGTAACATATTCAGACTCGTAAGAGTTGTGGAAACACTTGAAAGTATGCATACCTATGCTTTCAAAAGTTGTAACAAGCTCCTGTGCTTTTACCAGCTTCTAACAGATCTCACAACTCTTTGAACATTTATTGAAAAAAAAAAAAAGACTGTTGTAGAGGAAAGGTTTTACTTACCTACTGTTGCCTTTAACCATCTCAGCACAGCAACTGGTGTATTCTCCATACGGGCACTCAGTGAGATACCATTTGTAGCTTGTAGCTCTTTTTATAGACTACAAATGCCCCACGCAGGCTATTTGGAATGGGCTGTTAAGCCTCTTTAGTAACACTTTAAAGAGTGTGTGTGTGTGTGTAGTGGGTGGGATGTTGTAAGGAGGGGGAGAAGGACGGCCTGTTATAAGATCTTGAAGGCAAAACGCCTCTGCAGTTTAAGAGCTGTTAATGATGCATGTAGCTCAACTGAGGAACCAGTAGACCGCAGCCTGCAGGTTTCTCAGCCTAAGCCTGTGTGTGTGCGTGGGTATGTCTGAAAGGAACACCTGTTGTGTATTCCATAACCAACCTGTCATTAAGCAGTGAGGATGAATCTGAAGTCAAATACACAGAATACACACAGGCCCAGTCTTCTGCTCAAGCTTGCTGAGTAGCTCTATCAGAGCAGTGAAAGGTCATATAAAGACACCTCTGGTGATGGGGCCACTGTAACATGGGTTTGGGGGTCTTGGCAGATTTTCCAGTCTGACCCATGAACCCTTGATCTGTACAGAGACAGGGCACTAAGGTTATGTTGCATTCACATACGCTCAGAGGAAAAAAAGGTTTTATTTGTGGCCTAAGGAGAATAAAATCTGCATTTTGTTGCACAGCCATATCTTGTTAAATGACAAATAAATGATAAACAAAGGATAAACAACTTACCTTTAATTCTATAACCTCCTGCAGCTCATCGTTTTTTGGGGGAAAAAAACAACATCGGATATGCAGGATTTAGAAAGCATGACCTTATAATACAGCTCAGTGGAATTTGTTTTCAGCCTTTTGCCTGTAGCAGTGTTGTCATCTTTGCTATTAAAAATAAATCATGAAAACATGTTGCTCTGGAAGATTAAGAAATAACATGAGGGTTAAGAGTCCAGGCATCCCATTTCTTTTTTTTTATGCTGGCCAATATGTGATAGCTGATTCCAATAAAGCTACCATGTGACCAATAACAATAGGGGTTAATAATGGAGAACCTCGACCCAACAAATGTAAAGACATGTCTAAAACACACAAACAAACCAAATCATGGTGTCAGGTGGTGAATTACGGATGGGCAGCTGTATTTTCCAAAAAAAAAAAAAAAAAAAAAAAAGAATAAAAAAAAAAAAAAACACAAGCAAGAGATCATAAATCTTATTAAAAGTACTGTTGCTGTTACTTTTTTGTATTACTGAGTCTTTTTTTTAAATAAATATGATGATGCTTGTGGACAGTTGAAACTGGTTTTGATCAGGCCATTAAATATGTAATAGCATCTGACTGTGTGTTAGAGAAACCAAATGAATCAAATGCACAGGCTGGGTTGTTTGACGTATGTTTAAACCACTCATATTATTTTGTACCTCATGTCTTAAGTCTTAAATTCCCAGCTCAGGGTGTGCCCTGTAAGTGTTAAATGTAAGTAGTCTTAAAAAGTAGTCAGATAAGGTATTGGACTATAATCTCTTGATTACACACACACACACACACACACACACACACACACACACACACACAAAAAATATCTGCTGCATTGAAGATCCCAAAAAGCACAGTGGTCTCCATCATTAGGAAATGGAAGACGTTTGGAACCACCAGGACTCCTCCTAGAGCTGGCTGCCCAGCCAAAATGAGCAAGCAGGGGAGACGGGCCTTGTTCAGGGAGGTGACCAAGAACCCGATGGTCACTCTGACTGAGCTCCAGCGTTCCTCTGAGGAGATTGGAGAACCCTAGCCTGGCTGGGCTATCCAGTTGCATGAATCACTTGCCGTTCCTTCCCACAACCATCTGGGCTTCAGCCAATTGGGAGCATGTATTAGAAATCAGAAAATAACCAGGCCAATCAGTGACTGTGTTTCCACTGTTCCCCGGAACACAGGGAAAGGCAGCCCCTGATTGGTCCATGTGTAGATGGTGACGTCTAACACATGCTGCGGGACTTTGCAAAGTCAACTGCAGGATTAACGCCGTTCTGAATGAACGGCACTTTGAAAAGTTGGCAGAAATCATTTATATCCGCAGAAGAAGACGTAAAAGTAATTGTTTGCTCGCACACGTTGAAATATTACCAAACCTTTACTTAATGCTTGAGAGCCCAGCAGGGAACACAGTTGCCTTGACACAGCTGCAATACTGTATATTTTAATATGATAAAAGAAGAGGAAAAGGAAGAAAGAGAATGCAAACAATTACATTAGACAGATATTTACTTACAGTCCCAGTGAACCACCTCACAATGCTGCAGCCAGCTGATCAGTTGGTAGCAGCAGGGTGTATGTTCTTGCCTCACCTTTGCTGCTGTCCCTGACCCATGTTGAAAATTAACTGGTCTCTGTCTGAAAAATCATGTTTGAATATTTAAAGTGTACTGTGTCTTTCTCCACACATTAGGCCTGTGTAGGACTTGCATAGATTAATTCCAAGGTAAGAGAATTGTCCTCTAATTTGCACACGTCGATGGACAAAGATAATAAGTCACTGAAATTGCAATATTACTTCGTGACATAGCCACAAAGTGCAGGGTTGATTGGCGTTTTTTTTAAATGTTTCAAATCCTTGCAAGGTGTTATCTCTGAGCTCACCCTACTTTGTCACTTGAAGACTCCAAAATCAGGCAACTGGGCTGTGTAGAGTTGAGAAGACGTTTTGCCTCTTATCCAAGAAGCTTCTTCAGTTCTAAATATTGCTAGTGTGAGGAGCAGATATTTATCTTACTGGAGAAGGGGACAGACAACGACTGGGAGGAGTTGGAAAGAATGGGTTGTAGAAACCCATCTCTGGGTGTTACCCCCTATGTTTGACCACATGACTCATGAGCTTCCTGGGGAGAGAGCAGAGAACTGCATTGTAAGTGCCGGAGAGATTATGCCTGAGTTCACCCCCTCTGTTCAGAGAAGGTTTCTCCAGTCTGGTAAAGATGGCCTCTTTAACTCCTCTTTCAAACCATCTGTCTTCTCGAGCCAACACCTGTACATTGCTGTCCTCGAAAGAGTGACCCGTGTCCTTTAAGTTAAGGTGGAAAGCTGAGTCCTGACCTGAGGAAGTGGCTCTCCTGTGTTGAGCCATGCCCTTGTAAAGCGGTTGTTTAGTTCCCCCAATGTACAGGTCCGAGCATTCCTCGCTGCACTGGACAGCATACACCATATTACTCTGTTTATGTCTCGGTGTTTTGTCCTTAGGATGGACTAGCTTCTGCCTTAGTGTGTTACCCGGCTTGAAATAAACAGGAATATGGTGTTTGCCAAAGATCCTCGAGTTTTTCCGACAGACCTGCAATTTAAGATTACAGAGCTCTTGCGTCTCTCCTCCCTTTCGTGTTCCGTGTTATTTCTCTTTCTGTTCTTCACAAAGGCCCACTTAGGGTATCCACAGTTTGTCAGGGCATTTTTGATGTGCTTCTGTTCCTTTTCCTTACCTTCTTTCGTTGTGCGAATGTTCTCGGCCCGGTGGTTGAGTGTTCTGATAACACCCAGTTTGTGCTGCAGAGGATGGTGGGAATCAAAGAGTAAATATTGATCCGTGTGTGTGGGTTTCTTGTACACTTCAACGTTGAGACACCCATCTGGCTCCAAGTGTACAGCACAGTCCAAAAAGGCCAACCCATTGTCCTTGACATCTTCACGGGTGAACTTGATGTTGCTGTCCACTGTGTTGATTTGGTCAGTGAAGGCCTCTACTTCATGTGTTTTGATCTTAACCCAGGTGTCATCCACATATCTGAACCAGTGCCTAGGTGCTGCTCCTTTGAAGGAGGTTAGGGCCTTCCTCTTTACCTCTTCCATGTACCGGTTTGCCACTATTGGAGAAACCGGGGAGCCCATGGCACATCCATGTTTCTGTCTGTAATGGTGCTCTCTGAACTGGAAATAGGTGGTGCTGAGGCAGATGTCCAATAAGGAGCAGATGTGGTCGGGGGTTAAGTTGGTTCTGACCTCCAGTGTGCTGTCCTTTTAAGAGGCGTTGTCTTACTGCTTGGACTGCCTCTGTTGTTGGAATACTTGTGAAAAGTGATGTCACATCATAGGAAACCATGGTTTCATCTGGGTCCAGCTTGATGTCCTTGATTTTTTCGGCGAAGTCCTGTGAGTTTTTGACGTGGTGAGTGGTGTGGCCGACAAGACGAGCTAGGATGGTGGCCAAATGTTTTGCCACTTTGTATGTGACTGAGTTGATGCTGCTGATGATGGGTCTAAGGGGGGCCCCTTTCTTGTGTATTTTAGGTAATCCGTAAATGAACGGCTGCTTCCCCTAGGTATAGCTGATAATAGAGTGGGCAGTTGATAACTCCATCCTTTTCCAGCTGTTGAAGTATGCTGATAACTTTCTTTTTGCAGCTGTCGGTGGGATCCCGTTTTAGAGTTTTATAGGTGGCAGTGTCGCTTAGAGGGGTTGCAGGAAGATGGCGGATTACAGAAACCACCTCCGCTTTAACCTAAGATGCAGACAGCAAGGATTTGTTCCCAAAAGCCTACGCTTGTTTTCCAAGCGTCCAAGGGTGGCAGAGTAAGAAAAGCAAGGGGGCACACCCTTTTAAGACCAACAGGACAATGTCACTCAGCCTGAAAATTTGGTGAATACATAAAATGAAAACAAACATAAGACTGAGATACAGCAGAGGGACGTATTAGAGCCACACAGTCTGTCAGTGTCAGTTCAGTGTCATTTCGAGCAATGTTGGAGGCAGATTTGGTAGAAGGCATGGCTGATGAATATCACTGGGCTCAGTACAACATGCTCAGTGTCCTTAATGTTGACAAAGACCTCGGTCATTGTGAGGAGGCTGTGTGTGTATTGTGTGTATGGTGGGAGGGGGAAAATGGATGATGGGTTCGATTCACTCAAGGTGACTTTTGAGGAGTCATCCATTTCTCAAGTCATTGTCTCTCATTACTTGCTTCAGTACACCACTTATGCTCCACACACACACACACACACACACACACACACGCGCACGCGTGATCGTAGCATCTTATTGCACTTTTAAAGCCCCAACCCGATCCTTTTTTTTTTTTCACTATAAATATTTTCAGTGGTTTTTAAATTGTGATTTTTTAGTTTTTAGCTATAATCCCGTTATCTGTGTCATTTTCAAGGGCTTTTTTTCTGCAGCGCTTCAGTAGCTCATGAGAAATTTGCCTCTGAGTCGTGGGTGGAGACAGCACATCTTTATGCTAGCTTGTAGCCTAACATTGCCGGTGCAGCAGAAGTAGCAGGTAACAGCTCTCTGACACTAATGTCTTTGGGGGATGATGAGAGTTTATATTATAATTAGTTTTCTCACGAGCACTGAAATCCACTACCATACACACTTGTTTGTGATCGTGCTCCCTACTTCTCAGAGTCTGGCTTGTAGAGCGGGGCACGGGGGGCAGAGTTTAGGTTTGTGATGCAGCAAATCTTACTGTGTCTGAACCTGCTGTTTGGGTTTGCCAGAGGTTCACAGCGATTTAAATGCAGAAATACTCGGATATGTAATTTTGGTCTTGTTTTTCTCATGATATCCTCTAGCACCAGAAAAAATGCAATATGAACATGTAGAAAACAAGAAAAACATAATTTTCATTGAAGTGGGTCTTTTAGTACATTTTAATCTATAGAGTAGACAGAAAATAGAACAGATAAAATTTAAGGTCTTTGGACTGAAAATAATTCCTAAATGTGTCTCAGAGGTGTTAAGATATCTCTTAGGAGCTCATCTCTGACAGAACGCCGTTATGAAAGTTAATCCACTTTGATCAGCATCTGGATTGATCTAATTATAGGCTTGTTTTACAGTATGCTACATGAGCTTCCTGAGTGCATGTTCTGAGTGACCTTATCCTGCACCCTGCTCTACTTTATGCTTTGTATCACTACAGCTGCCAGTTCGATTGCTGATGTGCTTCAAAGACACCCTAACACTACTAACTGATTCTTTGTCAGACTGAGAGCGCTCTGTGCTGTAAGGCCAGGGGTACAAATACTTTTCTCTCTGATATCTGCAAAGTTATGAATTTGTTTTGTACTCTGAATTGGATCACAGCAGCTCAATGAAGTAGAGGTTGTTAACACAGTTTGGCAACTCTCCCAACCCAGTAAAAGTCCCAGTACCAAGGATGGTGGATGAGTAAAGCACAGGTGTGAGTGGCATAGTGCTATGATGAATAAAGTTGACAGGGATGACCGAATAGATGGATGATTCATGTAGGAAAATGGGGTATAACCAATTTATGGATTAATGCTGCATTCGAGTGACCTGGGCAGTCAGATGTCGGAGCTGAAAATGATGTCACACCCGAGTTTCTAGCGTTCCAGTTACCAAGTTGGAAAAAAGCAAAATCAGAGGCCTGAAACAAGATGGCTACATCCACGACAGTTATTTTAGCGCTTGAGCTATATTCGGTCAATGCAGGCGCTAAAATAACTGTCGCAGGTGTAGCCATCTTGTTTCCGAAAAAAAAAAAATTGCTTTTTATCGACTTGGTAACTGAAATGCTGGTAACACGGGTGGGCTCGGACTTCTGACTTCCGAAGTAACTCAAACGCAGCATAAGAGCTGTACTTGGCCATTCAATGAGTGCTGTTGTAGTCCCAGGCAGAACATCTTGTCAAGTGAATGAGGTCATAGAAAAAAAAAGATGTTGGTTTTAAGACTTCCAGTAACACTGGTGCAGTTGTAAATGCTGGGATATAGTTGGCTACATCCCTAACTAAATGGTTGGGTATGTAGCCAGTAAAAGCATTACTTAATTGATTGATTGATACAGGTTGAAACCATTTTCAACAAACATTTCAACCATGAAAAGTCAAAGCAACAAGACCATTTATTCTAAGTTTACAATTCACAAAGTATCTCTATCTGTAGCCTTCATTACAGAAGTCTGGAATGATGACAAACATTAACAACGAGTTAAGCACTGTTATTAGCACAATGACCACTCAAAACAATCCAAATGTGGGTGGCTCATTGTTCGTCTTTATGAGTCATGTGCTTACAGTAGATACTCTGTCAGTTGTTAAAAAAAACTGCAATTACCCTTTGTGCACACTTTCCAGTTTAATCATCTACTGTGCATATTCAAACACTTTGAGTGTTCAAATGTTGATTGGACATTTAATCTCTTGAAACTATGATGGTGGGTTAGGTTCCTACAATAGCAGAAAATTACATTTTAAGAAGAGTTGTACATTTATGAGAAAAAGGGAAACAAGTTAAACTTCACAAGAATTAAAGGTGGAGTAGGCAGGATTTGAGGAAGTGCCAGTTTTGGGGAGAAATCTTAAATGTAAACACTAACCCTCCCAACCAGTTTTCCGCTGAGCTCCTCCTCTCCCCTCCGTCACTGCTCCAGCAAGCCCCACCCACAAACAGAGGCTCCTGCTCGCTCGTATCATTTCAATTAAATTCAGATATAATGCAGATAAATACTTCAAATAATTACAAATGGGGCCCAGTCAACGTGAAAGTAAAAAGCATTGGTGCTACTGTAGATGCCAACAGACTAACAGCAAACACAATGTTTGCAGGACTTCTAAAACTAGGATTAAGTGACATGGTCCAGGACCCGAGGTCAACAGTTTAGCACCGCTACAACAAGCAGCAGGTCCAGTTTGACAAGAAACACTTTTGTTACAGACACTTGGCTTACTTTGTTAAAGCAGTTTTCCTGTCTAGCCGAAAGGTTACAGGGTCCGTACAACCCCAAAGCGTCCCCCATCATTGTTAATCCGGCTTCTTAGCTCTTGTCCAGTCTACCTCCTTTGTAAGCACCCGTTATTCCGCCAGAGTCTCCGGTATTTAGTTCGTTATCTTGCTTGTGTTGGCAGTCATGGCTAAAGGAGGATTCAGACAATTTTTTGTACTTTCTGATTGGTTTCTACTGTCTGACAACAAGGGGGAGAAGCGTCTGCCTTCCAACCAATCAGCACTAGGGAGCAGCGTTTGCCTTACAACCAATCGGGATGGGGGAGGCAGGGGATGGCTTTGTTTACAGTCAGAAAGAGCGGAGCGCTCTGAAATTTTTAAATGTTGACTACACAGACATAACAAAACACAGCGATATCATTATATTACCAAATGTCATCAATGACTAATAGCTATTAACTGATATTAAAAGCTTTTTCGTATATACACCACAAAAAAAGATGCTTCTTTAATAGATTCCTGCCTACCCCACCTTTAAGTGAATTTTGTAAAAAAGTCATACTTTGGGTCTATAGGTAGCCTTCCGGTTGTTTTGATGTAAGAGATCAAGGGCAGCCCAACAGCATGTAAGATTTGGATTTAATATTTAACTGAATACCAAATTTCTTTGTACATCAGTGCCACACCGTAATGTAAATCAGGATTTAGAAGTGATTGTGCAAGAAACTGAGTCTGTCATGATGAAGAGCATAAATTTATGACCACATGGAATACCAAAAAATAAATAAATAAAATAAATATATTAAAAATAGAAAATTAAAAAAGAAAACAGGAAAGACAAGATACTTGAGATATATTTACAAAAGGACAAAAACATAGATCTTTAAGGGAAAAAAATAATATTTAAGAGATAATTTTATTTACAAGAAAAAAAATGTAATTATCCTGAGTTTACAGTCATTAATTGTTGAGGAAAAAAATCTTAATTTTATGATCAAACATTTAATCTTGTTTTCTTAAGCAAACTTGAGTTCATCCTTGTTGAACTATGTTTTTTTGATTGTGAGATCTTGACTGTTTATATTCTTCAGTGTGAGTGCACTTATTAAACAACATTTGTTCTGTTCTACTCAACTTTTATGTTTGAAGCTAAAAGTTTCTCTGGAAAATTTGTGGCAAATTTTTAGCCTCTGTTTTATATAAAGTTGACACTGACTTGCATTTAGTGTCAATAAAAGGAAAGTTTTGTAACTGACATCATTAAAAATATAAATGTGAAATGTAACCACTTTAAACTAAAAATGCTGAGTACAATCAATTGGGCACAGCAATTGATATTACTTAAAATATTTATGTAAATTAGCCTGACATATAGTGTATTGTACTTAAAATTAGTGTTGTGTCTTTCGTGAATAATTCATTCAAAGGAACCAGATTTTTTAAGTGAACATTGTAGTGTGGCTGGTTAGTTGTGAGGACCCAGAAGCAGACACAGAGACTGAGATCAACTTAAAATGAATTTTAATGTCCAAACAAAAGGTAGTAGATGCAAACAGAGGATGTCCGGTAGGCTGGTTGGCTGGCTGTCGTGTGGGCTGGAGACACTGCAGGAAAAACCAGAGGAGACAGGAGTTATTGAACATGAGAAGAATCACAAGGAGCAAAGTTACTGATACTCATACAACGAGGTTGGCCAGGAGACGCGTCTTTACCGCTAGGAAAGGTAGACAATACTCAGGCGCTGAGACTGAGGGCTGCAGGCTTCTTAAGGTGCCTTGATTGGAGATGTGGAGCAGGTGTGTGGTCTCACTCAGCCTCAGCGCCCCCTGGAAAAGAGTAAAGCCAAACCAGGCAAACAGGGAAACAAAGGAAGTCCAGCAAAAATAAAACAAGATGAGAAGGCGTCTCACCACAGTACCCCCCCCCCCTTAACGAACGCCTCTTGGCGTTCTGCCGGGCTTGTTGGGGTGAGCGACGTAGAAGTCCTCAAGGAGTTGGTGGTCCAGGATGAGGGAGCGGGAGATCCAGGAACGCTCCTCTGGACCGTACCCCTCCCAGTCCACGAGACATTGGACGCCTCGCCCCCGAGGCCGCACGTCCAGGATCTTCCGTACAGTGAGGGCAGGGAGGTCGTCAATCAACCGGGGGGGGGGGGGGGGCGACGGAAGGAGGGCTCAGGGTGCACGACGTAATAGGTTTGTTGGAGGAGTGCCCCCACTGTAGGACCTGGGAACATGCAACCCCAGGGACGAATGTTCTGTCTGGCGGGCCAGTTCCCAGGTCTGGGTGATTCCGGAGGGCCTGGTCCCCGATGGTGTCGATCTCCCAAGAGGTGGAGCCGACGACACAGGAGGCAGGGAGGATGGTGTCTGGTTCACTAGGGTCCGGGGTATCAGAGGAGTGGATCCGAGAGAGGGCGTCTGGTTTGAGGTTGCGGGAGCCGGGACGACAGGAGATGGTGAAGGTGAATCTGCGGAGGAAGAGGGACCAGCGGGCTTGCCTGGAGTTGAGGCGTCGAGAAGAAAGGAGGTGATGAAGGTTTCTGTGGTTAGTCCAGATGAGGAATGGGTGTTGCGCTCCTTCCAGCCAGTGTCTCCATCTTTGGAGTGTCCACACAACAGCCAGCAACTCACGGTTTCCCACGTTGTACTTTTGTTCGGTGGGTGAGAATCTCCGGAAGAAGTAGGCGCAAGGATGGAGCTTCTGGGTCTCGGTATCCCTCTGTGAGAGGACGGCCCCCACTCCGGAGTCCGAGGCGTCGACCTCCACCATGAACTGGAGAGAAGGATCCGGGTGTCTGAGCACAGGGGGCGAGCGAAGGCAGTGAGAGTGGCAATGAGGGCTCGAGGCGGAGATTGGCGCTGTGGACCAGTTGATCTGGGGATTGTGGATCTTCAGCCACGGGACTCCCAGCACCAGGGGAGAGTGAGGAGAGGGAAGCAGGAACAGCCGGATGCCCTCCCGATGGTTACCGGAGAGGATGAGGGTGAGAGGAGCAGTGCAGTGGGTGATAGAGGCTATCACTCTGCCATCGAGAGCGGTGACCTTACGGGGGACCGGGAGTTCCTCCAGGGGGAGCTGAAGTCACGCTGCCAGTCCGGTGTGAATGAAGTTATCGTCCGCCCCGGAGTCAATTAGGGTTTGGAGCGACGTGGAGCCCTTCCCCCACAGGAGACAGGCAGGAACAGCGATACGTCTGGGAGAGCTGGGAACAGAGGAGGTGTGGCTCTTCAGGGTGCCAACTGTCACTGATGCCTGGCCGTTTGACTTATTCGGGCAGTTGGCCAAAAAGTGACCGGCCTGGCCACAATAAACACAGAGCTTTAGCTCTATCCTCCGTCTCCATTCATCTGGGTGTAGTTTGGTGCAGCCGATCTGCATGGGTTCCTCGGCAGAGGGCGCCGGATCTGGGAAGACTGAGGGCTGCAGAGGAGACCCGCTGACCGCAACAGAGGAAGGGGAGTCTATACTAGGTACCGGGGAATGACTTTTCTTCACCCTCCGTCTCTCCCTGAGGCGATTATCTATTCTGATAGCTAGCGCTATTAGCTCCTCAAGGGAGGAGGGCTCATCTCGAGCCGCTAGCTCATCTTTCAATTGTTCAGAGAGGCCCCGAGTGAATATCCCTTTCAACTCGAGTTCCCCCCACCCACTCTCGGCCGCCACTGTACGGAACTCAATGGAGTACTCCGCCACTGACCGAGAGCTCTGGGTGAGGGAAAACAACCGTTTGGTACACTCGGGGCCCTCAACAGGAAAATCAAATATTTTACGGAGCTCCTCTGAGAATAGGGCGTAAGAGGAGAACATAGGTGATTCCCTATCCCAGACGGCCGTAGCCCACTTAGCGGCTCTACCTCTCAACAGATTTATTGTGTAAGCTATTTTAGACCGATCTGAGGGGTAACTAATGGGCTGTTGGTCAAATACTAAGGCGCAGCGGAGCAGGAAACCTCTGCAGCCCCCAATCTCCCCAGCATACGGCTCAGGAGGAGGGACATAGGGCTCTTTGAGGACAGGAGAGGGTGAAGAGGAGGCCGTACTCACAGAGGGGGGAGACCCAGATTGCTGCGGGGATAGGCGGGAGAGGAGTTGATCCGCCAGTTGCGCTATTTGAACGGTGAGGCCCTGAAAGGCTTGGTTGAGGCCCTGGAGCATGTCCTCATGTTGACCGAGGCGAAGTCCGAGCTTTTTGGATGGCTTGCTGGTCTCTGTCTGGGTCTGCTGGGTCCATTTTCCTGGCCTGAGTATTCTGTAGTGTGGCTGGTTAGTTGTGAGGACCCAGAAACAGACACGGAGACTGAGATCAACTTAAAATGAATTTTAATGTCCAAACAAAAGGTAGTAGATGCAAACAGAGGATGTCCGGTAGGCTGGTTGGCTGGCTGTCGTGTGGGCTGGAGACACTGCAGGAAAAACCAGAGGAGACAGGAGTTATTGAACATGAGAAGAATCACAAGGAGCAAAGTTACTGATACTCATACAACGAGGTTGGCCAGGAGACGCGTCTTTACCGCTAGGAAAGGTAGACAATACTCAGGCGCTGAGACTGAGGGCTGCAGGCTTCTTAAGGTGCCTTGATTGGAGATGTGGAGCAGGTGTGTGGTCTCACTCAGCCTCAGCGCCGGGGGAGGGGAGGAAGCCCTGGAAAAGAGTAAAGCCAAACCAGGCAAACAGGGAAACAAAGGAAGTCCAGCAAAAATAAAACAAGATGAGAAGGCGTCTCACCACAAACATACTGAACCGAATCACTTCCTCAAGTGATTCATTCATTTCTCACTTCAGTTTAGCTGAAGTGAGAAACAGCATTGCCAGTCGAGCAGTCGGTGAACGAGGGACCACATGCACCAACACCCGAATCACTCGGTGAACAAATCACGCATTGAACTACACTCTCTGGAATCATTTTTGTCAGACAAAACTAGCCTTTTTTTACTGCTAAATTTCCACCACAACAACTTGCATACAATAGGACACAGCATGTAACAAGTAGTGCATTAAACCCGCAGCATCCTATCACTGCAGCGGTTTGCGAGGGAACGGTGCATGTTCAGTTTGAATTCCTCTAAACGTTCAGAGAATGAAAAACTCACTGAGACCATTTTACCAAGCAGACCTGATAAAAAGCATACCAAGGGACAGTCCACTTAAAACATCATGACTTACAAACAAGTTCATTTTTACAAACCTGTTTGCCAAAGCAACACATCCAAACACTCTTGTCTCCCAGTCCCAGAAGCTGTGAATTGAACTGAATCCTGAATCGTTCAGCTGTGTATCAGTTCAGGAGGTCAGAGTCGCAAGCTTCTCCCGACAAGCACTACATGATTCGGAGATTTAGTGAATGAATCTTTTTAGTGAACTGATTCTAGTGATTCAGTACACCTAAACGAACTGCTGTGCATATCACTACTTCAAATAACAGTTCCAGATCTTGACATATTTGAGTTTAATTCACTCAATTTTTTGATTGTACATTACTTGTTTCAAGGCAACCACTTTCCTCTATTTTTTGGGTTGATAAAACTTATATGGCCATATAGTGTACAAACTAATAAAACACAGAGGCTCCAACCCTGTCTGGCTGGAACCACAGCAAAAATACTGTCACTTTGAAGACTTAACATGGCCCTTTAAAACTCCCAATGTCCCCTGATTCATGGACCTGAAGGGTCTTAGAGTGCAGCATAGAGACAGATTTACCACAAAACCTTGTACTTTTGTTAGAAACTGAATGTGAGAGGATATTTACAACAGTTTCACTGTGTTTGTCTAAATAAATAATGAATTTTTGTTGGTTTGTTTGTTTCACCTTTAATTCCTGCTGTCTGAGGACTTGTAAAATGTATACCCAGCTTAGTGTTGGCTCCAACAACAGTTCAGATGTATAGAATATCCCAGAAATCCCAGAAAATGTGTATTCTGTTTCTGTTTAATTGCAAGCATTACTTTAATGCATGCATAGGCAATTACTACTTAGCCATGTGTCAGAAAAAACATCACTTTACCTGCTCTTGACCACTAGAATTACAGCAGCAGAGCTGTCACGATACTAGATTTTTATACTAAAGCAAAACTCAAGTCAAACTATATTGTTGCTTATTTTTAGAAATTGAACTACTAGGCTTCCACATTGGGTAATCGTTTTTGTTCTCACATTTTAAACAGTGTTGGTATTGAAAAAGCCATTGGACACAGGCCTTCATTTGACCATTTACCAGTGTGGACAGACATGATAAAGAGGTTTTTTATTGAATTGAAATAAATCAATCCCTCTGTACTGTCCTTTATAATCCAGGAGGTGTGTGTGTGGTTCGCTCTTCATTTGCAAAGGCTGTGCTCACTCTATACATTTTGTAATTTTTGTATTTTGGACATTTTAGTGAGTGGGCTCACTGTAAATCACTGTCTGTAGGCTGGAACAAAATACAAATATGTTCAAGTAACAAATACAACCCTGTTCAAAACCGACACACGTGACACATTTATGGACTTTAAATGTTTGTGGACTGGACAAAACACCACAATGACTTTAATTAACAAAGACCTGTGAAGTAGGACAGATTATAATGCCATGAGCACACAAGCAAAACCTGTCACCTGTCATCACATTCCTGTGGAGGTGTGAACAATCTTGTCAGTGTTATTCAGCTGAACAGGTATAAAACAATCCCAAATGGGACGTAGTATTTTCATGTTTCATCTCTTTGTCATTAGCTGCCTTTAGTTGTTGATTGTTCTGCTCATCCAGCCTTTCCAGACCAGCTACTGGATCAGCTTTGAAAGTTATGTTATGGATAGTTGCTGTCTCTTGAGGATGATTTTCTATTTGCTTTAATAAAAATGTCCTTATTTAGTAATCTAGTGGTTGATTAAGGATAGGATGAATTTGTTATTTTAACTTGTCCAACTGACTTACAACCAACAGCTGGTATTTCCATTATCTTTTGAATGATGTACCAGTTGTTTACTTGATCATAATCTCCAATGGCAGCCAGGAAAAAGAAAAAAGAAAACCTATCCTAAAGAAAGTTTTTTTTTTCCTTTCTTGAGTGTGCTTACAGGCTGATTGTTAACAACTGACTTTGGATGTGTTGAGTTATTTTTGGTTTGCCTGGAATTAACTGAATTTCCCTTTGGGGATCAATAAAGTTCTTCTTATCCTTTCTTAATAATAAAACATATTAACAGTAACTCAGAAATGTTAAATAATCTCTAAATTTAACTTAGCAAAGTGAATCAGATGTTTATGGTCAGAAACGCTTGTCTTTTGTACTTCTGCAGATCAGGGAGATAGCCTTGTTGGATAAAGCCCTGGAAGAAAACTGTCGTTTACCCTATTTTACAATAAAAGTTGATTTTTACCTTCAGAGTTGTTAGAAAAATACCTACAAGAAAAAATAGTGTTTAATGGATTAAATTTGCAGGAATTGTTCCATTTTATAATGAAACATACAAATATGATAGACTGTATCTGGATAATGATATAATTTACACTTCGAAGTACATTTAGTAAAGGTACTCTTTAAAGACTTGGGTTTGCATTGGCACAGTAATCTTCCTCATTGGAGTCCCCAAGACTGTTAAGAAAGCTTTCTGTGTCACCATGTATGACAAGATACAGCATATCAATGCAGTAATCTCCCTAACAAAAGGTTAGCTTTGCATTATAATTGCTGCTGACATTTCCCACCTAAATTGCACTCAGGGGTGAGTCATGTAGCAGCACTGTGCAGGTTTTTTTTTTTTATTATTGCTTCTGTTGGTCTGTGGAAAAGAATGAATAATAATCCGTTTTGCATTTAAACCTTGATAGTGGCCTGACATCTGCAATAGCATGTAACAATGTAAAGCTATTTAAGATTATTTTGCCAAATCATCTCAATGGGTTTGTATCTGTTAGCACTGAGAAGCCTTGCTAGCATTGAATGCAGGTTGACATGTGCAGAAGTCAGAAAAATCCCTCCCTAAAAGTCAACACAATTTCCCTCTCCTTGCTCCCTCTGCCCTGTTCCTCTCTATCTTTTTCTATCAATTCCTCTCTTTCCTACCTCGTCCCCTGTCGACCTTATCGCATCCTACAATGACACATAACTCAGCAGCACACCTGCGACCCGTGACAGCTGAGCCCCTGGCCTGGTGCAGTGCTGTCACTCAGCTAGCTAACTGCCATTAAACAGCATGACCCTGCCGCCCCATTAGGCTGGAATCAGATGGGAGTGTCAAACCATACCCCCACGCTCCTCACTATGTTGTGCTGCTGTACAGATACAGTCTTGATAGCCCAGTTCTCATTTGCAAAAATAGAAAAGGACACTGACAGGCATTATTGGGACAAAACTGGTTAAATGATGACCAATTATGAAGAGCCAGAGGTTTTAGGTCAACCTTCTGTTAGGTCAGTTGGGTAACCTGAAAGTGCAAACAAGTCTGGATCGATTTATATTATCCTGTGTCTTGGGACAAGATAAAGGACCTTTCCTGTGAATGTGTGAGTTTCATCAGGGATTTTCTTGATGCTCCAAAGGGCTTGGAGATACATTACCTTGTCTCTAAACATTACAATTATGCTAACTGCGGTCTCCTTTTAACCTTAGCCCTGCTGGGCTCCAAAGCTGCTGCCTGAGAGGTTACCAAGCCTTTTGCGTGCTCTCTCGATTACGTGCATCACTTTCAGGTATTTTTTACAATTTTGAAATATAACTGTCAGTAACATTGACCTTGCTGTGTGCTAATTGAATCGGAAAACATGGTTAGTTGCTCGTGCTGCTTGGTGAAATAACATTCATATTGTGCATATGGTGGTAAGTAACATGTACCTGCGAGGTCTGTCAGTAAACTCTCTGCTGCTGATGTGCATGTTTGGGTTCAGTAGTTCCTTAAGTGTTCTCCTTGTAAACAATATTATTCCAAGATCCCCTGATGATACCAACTGGGTAATTTGCTTACAGTTGTAAGGTGTGTCCAGTAATCACATAATGCAAGTTTTTGATCTCTGTTATGAATTTCAGACATTTACTTAATGAGAGCTATTTGACGGAGTTGAACAATGATCAGCTTTTGTGTGCCAGACAGTCACATGACCGCATGAGATCAATGTCAAAGTAATGCCACAGTAGTGTAATATGGAGCCAGATCAGGCTCAAAACTATTGAAAAAGTAGTGTAAGTGAAAAAATAAAAAGTGAAGTGAAAAAATAAGATTTGAAACTGAAAAAAATAAAATGGTACCTGAAAGTCTTGAATTTCGAAATTGAACTTTGAAAAATCCCAGAATGCATGAAAAAAATCTGTTCAAATGTAACTTTGATTCTGTTTTTTAATACTTTTGAATAAATTACTTATTTCTATTTTTCACTTCAATGTATATTTTGATCTTTGAGTACTTTTTTTTTTTCGATTGATTTTTATTTATTTATTTCAGATTCAGATCTTATTTTTACGGATTCAAAACTTTTTTTTCAGTTTCAGATTTTTTTTTTTCAGATTCAGATCTTTTTTCAGATTCAACTTGAAAAGTTTCAGGTTGACTTTTGAGCCTGTTTTTCCGTGGGGGCGGGCCTCGACTGAGAGGGGCGCGGTCTGCCATGAGTGACAGGCCTCCCCCTCCTTCCCCACCCCATCACCCTGCGTTCAGGAAGTGGCATGAATACACATTAGCTTAGCCTACAATTAGGCTGTATTGGCTGAATGAGATCGTGTTGGTTCGTTCCACTTTAGTGGTGCA